AAACGAGCAGCAGATCTACTAAAAACCATTTATTATTTAACGTCCATAAAAATTATATTTATATTAATGATATCTCTAAAGTTCAGCGAATTTTTCGCAAAAAAAATAATTTATCAGGAAGCACACAAGCGCCATTCAATGACAATCTCCACGACGAAAACAAGCTTAAGCAACGGCGTAGTCGAATGGTGCACACTCGGTAAGTAATCCTATAATTTTTTGTTTATAGCATAGTTTATATGGATTATTCCCAAAAAATTATACGTATTTTGGAAATGTTGAGTCGAATTAGTCTAGAATCGATTAATTTTATGGAAGAAACCTTTCAAACAGCCGTAGTCCATAAACTGCATACGTGCCGGGCTGTGATTGGCTGGACTCGTAAAAGCTGGATTCATACAACTCGGAATGTATACCGTGTTATGGGGGCGACTGTACATTAGTGAATCCTTCCATATTTTGAGAATTGCTTAGGCCAGGGGTGTCCAACCCGCGGCCCGCGGGCCGCATGCGGCCCAAGGCAAGTTCCAATGCAGCCCAATAAACGTGTAAACAAAACCTACAAATGTTTTAATTTTTTATTATTTATTTATTTCAATGGCATAAACTCAAAAAAAAGTTTCACAAAGCCGTAAACCTTTATTCATATTTTATTTTTGAGTGGAAAGAAAATATTTCAAATACTTGGAGATGTGTGAATGCGGAAGGATTACTAAATAAAGCTGGAGTTGTGTCTCAAAGAATTATATACCCAAATTTGGGAAAAGGAGGGAAAGATGAGAAAGGACAAAAGATGTAGTAGTGAGAAAGGTTAAATAGATCTTCTGTTAAGCAAATATGGACCCATAATTTTTCAACCTTTTTCACTTCTTTATCTTTTGTTTTTTGCCTCTTTTTTCCGCACTTGGGTCTATAATCCTTTGATTCACAGCTCCAGCTTTATTTAGTATTTCTTCCAACGTTGCGAGATTTGGCTACATTGGGCCAAATGTGGCTACTTTTTTTGGTTTGACGTAAAAAATATCATTTGGCGCTTTGGCTACTTTTTCGGTTACATATTATTTATAATTATATAAATTGAATAAAAATGCACTTCAAAATGGTGTTTCGTCGTTTTTATTAATTAGAGACACAGATAAAACAAATACTTGTGTTTTTCAAATAAATTTTCGTTTGTTTCTTTTATAATAAATGAATTTATCCATTTCTAAGTAAAAATTGAAAGTGTATGTAGAAGTAATTTTTTAAAATATCCTTTTTTCTTGATAAAGTTATAATATTTATTATTATTATCTACACATGTTAGTCCTTAAATATACTTGTATATTCGGCCACAAGTATATATTATATATACTTGTGGCCCAAAACTCCTTGACTTCTTCCAATGCGGCCCAGAGAAACAAAAAGGTTGGACATCCCTGGCTTAGGCTTTTTATAAAATGTTATTAAATTAAATTATATCTGTTGTTTTCATATTTTTACTTTAGCACTAAATAATAATTATAGTATTTTTTTCAGCAAAGAAAAAGTAAAAAAATGCTTTTTTTTTAATTAAATCTAAAATATTAAGATGTTCTGAACATTTCTCTTAACTCTAAATTTCTCATTAAACTATAATTTAAAAAAATAATAATAATTCATGCTTTCATATCTAAAATTAATAAATTACAATTACATATTCAATTTTCAGATGATAAATACACCTAATAAAATTTATGCAGTGTGATATAATACAAATGATAACTGACAACTCAAAAAACACTCAATCAAAATTTTCACAAAACAATTTACTTGCTAATATCCTTTTATAAATCATCAAATTTATCTGTTTGTGTTTTCAATAAATAATTTCAATAATTACATACTGATTTTTCCAGATCTTAAAAAAGTTATCTAATGATTAGAGCTACCAACAGAAAGCAACACAGACTATAATTTTATATTTTGTAATTATATCTAAATCATTAGTAAGTTAATTTACCAAATAATAGAGTAATTTTGATACATAATTAAAGATTTGCTAGAAATAATTAACAACAGTAATGTTTGTCTCAACTATTTCCATGTACTCAATCAATTCTCTGTAATTATTGTTATTAGAGAATGCAATAAAATTTTAATTTTGAAGATATAGAAAAACATGCAATTAAATTCTCTTCAAAGGTAATCATTATTCTTGAAAATAATTTTTAGTTACATTTTATACATAAATTACTGTAATTGGTTTTAAATTTGCATATAAAATATACAAAAATGTTTGGAATTTATTTTATTTTGTTTATAACTCATAGCTATCTTATATGCTTTATAAATGAAATAAAATAAAAGATTCAAAATAATTATTACTATTAATAATGAGTCACACTTTCCACACTATTTCCAGCAAAACAGTTTAATAAAAATTTAACAAAACAAATATTTTTGACTACATTAAGTGGCCTGCTTCAGGTTTTAACATTTGAAATCAAACATCTAAATAGAATACAAATTTGGAACATTTAATCACTTTTGTAAAAAAATTTTATTTATCTGTGATGTCAAATTCTTTATATGAGTTAAGGCGTACAGAAAATGTAGTTTGAAAATAATGATGTCACAAGAACATTAGCAATGTTCCAAATTTGTATTCTATTTATATGTTTGATTTCAGACTGTTGAAACCTGAAGCAGACCACTTATTGTAGTCAAAAAGATTCCTTTTGTTAAATTTTTATTAAACTGTTTTGCTGGAAATAGTGTGGAAAATATGACTTATTATTCACAGGTTCCAGCTCATCACATAGAGAATTGTAAACATTACTTTTTTATAAATTTACTTATAACATAATCATCACTTTTTATTTTAAATTGTTACATAAATAGTTTCTACATTTATGTAATGGATAAAACTGCACAATAATATAATCTAATGAGTAATTCGAACACAAATCAATTATTGTATTTATTCACACTCTTGGCAAATCTCATCATTAAATTTTATTCAGTTGATACCAGAATATTCTAATGATTACATTTTCACTTTCAGTGCTTATATTTTAAACACTATTATATGATTATCTATTTGTATGTATGGTATTAGATTAGAAATTAAAATAATCTTTGCAATAGATAATAAATTAAATTAACTATATAAACCAATTTCAGGTATTCCTTGTATAACACTGTAGTTATGTTCCAAAAAAAGTGTAGTGTTACACAAATCCATGCTATATGAAACAAAGGACTAATGTAAAACATGGGTTACATTCCAGAAGTTAGCAAACGTATACCATTGTTGTTTGTTACTAAGAGAAATATGTTTATCAAAGCAATCAATAATTTATTTCCAATCAATAATTAATTAACAATCACAATTAAAAGTACAGTATTATGCATTAATATTGATTTTAGTTAAGTAAGGGCATTTTCTTTTTATACAGTATCATCGTCATCTCAGCTTTTTTGTTGATCTTGATCAGAAGTATCAGCAACATTTTCATATTTTTTATTTTTATCATAAAATTTTTTTTATAGATGATGAAATAAAAAATATGTTATTAATCGAAAATTCGTTCTAGCTGGTTGCATTTGTTCAGTCGTGTACCAACCAACTTTTTTCCAGAATTTGTGTTCAAATACTGAATTGTTCGAGTAACAAGATATTGCCATATTTTGTTTGTCATTTTATGAATGATTGCTTACCTACAGTTAAAGAAGTTTAGCAACACTAATCTAAAAATGTTTAAATAAACTTTACTAAATATGAAGATTAATCTATGAAAAGAAAACACAGTAGATAATCTTAAGGAGAAAAGTCTGAAAGCAGCGATGATAACACCTGGTTGATAGGAAAGTTATTGTAAGTTTTTTCTTCCTTGCCCTATCAGTTTTAATTAAAGTAAACCTGATGAACAGCACAAAATAATTTGAAAATTTCAATATTCTAAAATCCATGGACAATTTTGAGACAACACGCTTGCTTTCTTGAATAAGAAAATATTGAACAATGAAGTTTACACTTAAAAATTTGAAATTTTGTACAGATAATTTCCAGAACTGTGTTAGAGCGAAACTGTGTTGTATGAGGGATACCTGTACATATTTAATAGTCCAGGCCTCTCAAGAATTTGTAGAATCATCTCAAATATTATAGTTAACATTGACCACAATTGATAAAAACAAATCTGAGGATTGAATCTCTTTGAAAAGTGGAAACAAATCAACTAGATTATCTATCAATACTAATGAACTCTATGCCAAAAAGAATTGCAGTTATAATTACTACTCACTCATTCATTAACATATTATTATATGCATTCTCTCTATATTTTGAAAGATGACTGCATAATTTTGATCACTAATATAATTTCTCAACTTACAAACATATCTAACATCAGAAAATATGTTAAATAATTTTATTTATTATAACTGTAAATTAAAATCAATGTAATTGTATGAAATCTTATAACTTACATAATTTTCAGTTTTTTAAATTAAATCATGATTATTTTCTTTTTGATGATTTTATTTTTCTAAACATTAGAATTTTTTCAGGAATAAATCCTCTAATATATAGGCTTATATGTTTTGTTGCATAATGAATAAATAAAATTTTGAAAAAAGTAACATAATAGTTACTACAAAATTCTTATGACTTTTTAAATAAAAATACATTATTATTATTACTATTAAACAAACAAAAATGTTCAAATTCATAAAAAATAAAACAGGATATTTTTGTATATATTTAATAATAATGAAATCAAATAAAACTTCAGAGTTTCCATATAATCTGCTTTATCCATTCAGTTATTTAATATTATAGTTTCTTCAAAACAAATAATTACATTTCACAATTTTTTTACTATTATAGGGAGTTTCATTGACTAAATACAGTACATTTATTGTTTCTCTTAGATTTAAATATATTTAATACAGTTATCATTTATTATTATATATTATTATTTAAAAATAAACAATTCAATAATTATACGTATTATACATAAAAGTTCATTACTTACCTACAACAGATTGTGGTCTCAATTTCCTTGTATGTACACTTCTTCGTTTACTTGTTAATTTTGGAGTAGCCTATTATATATTTTAAATACTTATTTAAAATAAAAATATATTAAATATAATTAAATTATAATCTTTCAATAGAGTATGCATGACTTAATAATAATCAACAGAAAGACATAATAAACTATTATTGGTATTCATGTCAACATATTATTAATAGTATCTAACATATTTAAAAAAGAATAATATAGGCTCATTAAAGTTTCTAAAAAAATATATCAATTGACAAGTTTTTTTTGTTATCAGTTACAATATACTTTACCCATATATTATATATCAGGTTGATTCAAAAGTTCCCAAACACAAACATATGATACAAAACTTTATTCACAATAAAATACAGAGACATGGTTATTCCTAAAAATGAAAGCTATTGCTAGCTATGGTCTTGACCCATCTTTCTGCAAGTTGGAAGATTCCTCGGCAATACCACATAGCTCATTTTGATTCCCAAAAACTCACAAACCCCATTTTTGACATCTTGCACTGTATTGAAGAAATGTCCTTTCAGAAAATGTGCCAATGACCGGAAGAAGTAATGGCTGATGAAGCAAGGTCAGGGTTGTATCCTGGGTGAGGCAAAACTTCAATCTCCCCAGCTCCTTTAACTTTCTTTGGACAATTCTGGAATGGTATGCCGGAGCATTATTGTGCTGTAGCAGAGTGTGCTTTCGATTAAGCAATGCTGGATAGCAAGTGTGCACGGCTTGAAATACACATTTCAATTGCTCAGCATAGAGGTTGCCATCCACAGCCTGGCCATTAAGAATGAGCTCTCAATGCACTCGACCAATCAAATTCCATCAAATGCAAAGAATGACTTTTTGTTCAAACTGTCTTTGTTGAACCATTTGTGCTGGCACTTTGCCTGGTTGGAGCCACTGGTTTCTTCTGTTAAGATTACTGAAAAATATCCATATTTTGTCTCCCATTACGATCCTATACCATAACCTGTCATCTTTTGAATTTTGAAACAGTTGAAACTTACAAACTTGTATCCTCTTGTGCGCCTGCTGCTCTGTCAGTTCAAAGAGTACTTCTCAAGGTCTTCTGCTGTGAAAGTCAAGATGTTTCAAATGCCGAACAATGGTTGATTGGGAAAATCTGAGTTTGACAGACAGTTGGTGAATGCTATTGCCTGACTCCTGTTGAACAGCTTGGAGCAGCACTTTGTCAATAATGGTCAATGGTCATCCCAACCAAGGCTTGTTCCCATATTTGAAGCAGCAGAACCATTCAGCTAAAGTTGTCTTGTTCATCAGGCCTGGGCCTTCAATTTTGCAAATTTTCTCTGCTTCTACACTTGAATTGAAATCTTGTATCCAGTAATGACATGAGATATCACAAATGATAAGTTTTTTGTCATTCATTCTTTCTTTCAATATTTGCTGAAGAAATGAACTCAACAGCTCTATAAAATGATAGTATGTACCTTTGATGATGATGCAGTTACCAACTCATTTGCATTCACAAAAAAGTGTTGTTGGTATCCAGGAACTTTTGAATTACCCTAATATATACATACATACATACATACACATGCAACACCAATTCTATAATTTCTTTTTAAACTAATTTAATATAATTTAAATTATATTAATCATAACAAAATAATGTGAAGTATTTTAAGTGGTTAGGTAAATAACTAAAACATCCAACACACATTGATAGTTTTAGCTTAATTTTTATTAAAATATGGCCTCATACTTTTTATTTTTTATTAAGGAATCATTCATTCTGATTTGAAACCAGCAAACTTTTTACTTGTTTCTGGAAAACTGAAGCTAATAGATTTTGGAATTTCTTCATCAGTTCAAAAAGATACANGTATTATATATTTTGATTTAATATGACAATGAGTTTTATTAAACCACAATAAAACTATTATCAGATATTATAGTACATTCAATACAAGTAAAATGGCAGGCATACTACACTTACAAAATACAAAAACTTGTTTTTTTATAAAATTAAAAAATTATTCCTTTTTCTATATGAAAATTAAATTTCTCTCTCATATCTCATGTTATTTGTTTTAATATGTTAATAATAATGTTTCAATTTAAAACATATTAAAACAATTTATTATTATTATTATTATTATTTTTTTTTTTTGAGACTTAAATGTGAATTTTGCTTAGATAAACTTTTTACACCACTAAAAAAAATTAAGAAACTAGTATAAAAATATAAATATTAATTTGGAATATTTGAAAATTTTATAAAAACCAATTTATTAAATATAAATTATGCTAATGTTAACTCTCTGACTATATGAATTTTTTATATAAACTGAGTGTTGGTCCTGACCAGATGACAACTATAGTCTGAGGCAAAACAACTTTCTGCGTAGAGTAATGACTAGTCCAATGGCAGCATGAAGTTTCAAGGTTGTTGAAGTTTACAAATCAGTCTGGTGATTTATTTGGTGGTCGGTATTCTAACTCAATACAATGTGATGTTGATATCAACACAATTCTATAAACTATTTGCACTATAAACTATAAGTTCAACTTTACAGTTGAACTATAGTTTATAGTGCAAACAGTGCCAGATTTAACCTGTTTGATTCTACAGTTACAAACTAGAAATTTCTTGAATGCCATATTTTCTGACATAGACTAAACATAGCTTCTGACATTAACTTGGACTTTAATTATGGAATATTATATGAAAGTGTACCAAACTTGGTACACTTTTTAAAGTATGAAAATGATACATTTTAGTAAATAGTGTGGTTAACATACATGATACATTTTGTTTTAATTAAAAATTACACCATGGATATTGATGTATGTTTACATCATAAGTGGTCAAAGCTATGTATCTAATATAATTTGATTATTTAAAACATTATTTATTTATGTAGATGATTTAATAATTAATTATAAATATTGTGATGTTTGGAATAATTTATTTTTTTGTCTTAATTCTTACACTATATTTGCCAATTTTTCCACCCTTCAAAATCTGCTGCTATATGCCTCGCTCTACTCTGTCTATTTAGAAATCCAGTCCTAAGTGCAAACCAGAAAGATAGGAACAGTTCAATTGAATGAATATTTAGTACTTTCCATTCATATGCATATGTATATACAAAAAATTCCAGTACTCTTATATTTTAGAAAAACTTTTAAATATTTTAACTGTATTTAGAAAAACATATCATCAAGTAAATAAATAACATTGAAAAGTGATATAAAAATATAAGTTCATACTTACTAGATTTAACCATGCCAACTAAGTTACAAAAGAGCAGCATAATAGAAAATTTCAAAAGTTAAAATATAATCTCACATAATTATTTAAGAAAAAGATTATTAATTTATACTATTTGAGGTTTGCCTTGTTTTTCTTTTACATTAAATTATCATCATTCAAATGATATCTGATAATTTATTTAAAATTACAAAATGTTTGCAAATAACAACATGCAATAGATTAATAGTTGTTTTGAAAAATTACAATCTCAAACTTTATTATTGGGTAGTTCAGAAAGTTCGTAGTGATTTTCAAAGCTGACAGTTAAAACACTAGATGAAGTAAACATTATCGGAATTATACGAATCAATGAATATTATGAAAAATGACGTATGTTACAAGACAAATTAAATGTTTGTACAAAAAATCCATTAAAATTATTTAAACAATCTTAACAAAATTTTTGTAATGATATTTAATTTGTCTTGTTGTGAAAATGGAAGTAAACAAATTGCATTTTTGATACTTATTTCTTTTCTTCTATAGATAAGACAAAAATGCTATGCAAACAGCAAAAGAAGTAATATTTATGTAAAAGTGCTGTAGCAAAATCAACTGTTCAAAAGTAGTTCACAAAATTTAACATGAATAATTTCAACATTGATGATGCTCCATGCTCAGGAAGACTGGCTGTTATTGAAGAGGACCAAATCAAAACATTATTGGATGACAAACTTGAGAAATATCAGACGTAATGAAGTCATCAAACAGTACTGGTATCATATTTCAACATCTGAAAAAAACTGGATAAGTGAATCATTATGGCATTTGGATACCTCATGACTAGTCAGCAGACATCTAAGCCCTTATAAGTGGCGTTTTAGACACTTAAAATAAGCTCTTAAATTGCATCGTTTAGGCTTATAAACAAAAAATAGGAGGTCAAAATTTGCACAATGAACAATTAACATACTTATCAGGATGATGAATTTTTTATTTAACATATGTATTCCAAACAAAAATGCACGTATTCAGAATGATGCAAACACAAAAGTAGACAAACAATTATCTTTACATTTTTTATTCTTCTGTTTCCCATAGTTAGCTTCATAATATGTTACAAGCACTTTTTCCAAATTTTCAATAGAAAAGTTGCAACGTTTGTCACTGAGAATTAATTTATACGCAGAGAAAGAGCATTCCACATCTACGGACAGAAGATAACGGACAGTATTTCAACCTTGGAAGAAGATGAACTGGGTATTCACTTTCAGTTTTGCTCTTCAAAATATCAGCCACAACAAACAAGCACTTTAATCCAAGTCTCTTTTGAAGAACTCTTTCTTCACTTCTTTTGCAGTAGTGCCTGGTGCATTGCAAAGTTCCTGATTTGCTCTGTTGAGGAGATCAATTTGTTCATTTATAGGTTTCCCATTACTTTCAAGAGCAGTAATAGTATCTGCAATGAATGTGAAATAACACTTGATGTACAGTACTCCAACTTGTTCTGAACATAAATGTCATTCAAAATTTTCTTGGCTTTAAGTTACACAAACTGCATTGTCCGCTAAAGTAGCCAGAAGGTTTTTGATATTGAAGAAATGTTCACTGCAGTAGTTAGTACAAAATCTTAGCCATGTATATGCTAAGGGAAAAATAGGTATTTGCCTAAAATCCGCTGTCTAAAAATGACAAATAAAGCATCTCTAATGGTATATTTATTAAATAAAAGCATTTATTTTAAAATTTTTTGTATAGTTTTAATTTTATTACTATAAAATTGCCTCAGGGGGTGTAATTTATTTCTGTTATTATTGCATTCTAATTTTTTCTGCTTGGGATATGCATTCACTGGTACTTCAATATAAGTAATCAATAATAATAAAAAAATGTATTTGTCTAATTGCATTTTCAGGAAAAAAATGAAACTTAAGCAGTTTAATTTAAGAATTAAAGTAAACCTTTGCAGAAAATGAAACAAAAAATTAATAAAAACTTTTTAAAAATATGAAAACAGACTAAACTTTGTGTTTTAGGCTAAAATAGGCAGCAACATCAAAATAAGCATTTTTAGGCATTATAAAATACCATTATTTCAATCTAAATATTCATGAAGTGTTCATACAAAATCTTAGCCCTGTATATGCTAAGGAAAAAATAGGCATTTGCCTAAAATTTATCTACTCATGACATAATGAAAAAGAACTTATTGGGTCTCATCTCCATTTGCAATTCTCTTCAAAACAAAATAAAAATGACTCTTTACTGAAACATCTAGTGACAGGTGATGAAAAATGGATTGTTTAAATCATCATCAATCAAAAATGATCATGAGGCAAGAAAAATGAATCACTTTTAAAAACTCTAAAGGCTGATCTTCATTTGAATAAAGCCATGTTCACCATCTGATGGGATTGGAAATGAATGCTGTACTACAGGCTGCTTCCACAGAATCAAACAACCAATTCTGATAAGTATTGTTCCCAACCGAATCAACTGAAGAAAAATGTCCAGAATTGGCCAATAGAAAAGGCATTGTGTTTCGTCAAGATAATGTCAGACTGCACACTTCTTTACGAACATGCCAAAAATTATTGGCTCTAGGCTGGGATGTTTTATCCCACCCCATACTCATAACCTTGCCCCATGGGATTACCATTTGTTCAGAGCTCTGCAGATTTCTTTTTGCAATAAAAACATTGGTAGTTTAGATGCTTGCAAACACCACATGGAACATTTTTCATAGAGAAACTGGAAAGTTCTATGAAGAGGGTACAGTGATACCTCAGGATATGAAATTAATCTGTTCCGAAACTGAGATCGTATCACGAAAATGTCATAAGGTGAATCAATTTTCCCCCCATATGATTACATGTAAAACCAAATAATTCGTTCCAACACAAAAAACACACTCAAATTAAAGCTAAGTAGTACATTGAAAAAAAAAACTTTATTAAGGAAAACACTGGAAAATGCATTTTGTAGTTGTAAATGTATAAATAACCATAATAGAATAATAATTGATTAAAAAAAATGTAGTTTTATTTGCACATTACCTTTGAGGATAGACAATGATGGAGGTGTAAACTAGTGGCGGAGGAGAGGGAGAAGGAAAATGATACTAAAACTTAACTTACATAACATAATGTAACAATAACTTAAAAATAACACTAATTTTTTTATCATCTTTTCTGTTTTATATATTTTTTTAAATTTTTATTCACTGCTTTTTGCTTTCTTTCCTTCATTTCCACCAGCACTTTCACTGGATAGAGCTTGGTAAAATATGCTTGGTAAAATATCTAATAAAAAAGGTTTGGCTTTGCCTACTTTTTAAAATGTTTCTAAAATGACTTAGGCAAATGTCATTACACTGAGCAGCAACACAGCCAGTGTGAACCTTTTCGGGATGTTTCTTTTCAATAAAATCACTCACTTTCTGATAATACCTCAAGATTTCCTTTATTGAGCGAGATCCTTCCATGACGAAGCAAACACACAGACTGAGACCAATGAACAGAAGTGAATAAAAAATGGCACTGTGAACTAATGTAATGTCCTATGGTAAGTTTTCATTCGTATCACGGAGCAAAAATATGTTTGAATTTCATGTCGTATCCTGAAAATTTTGTATGCTGGGGTGTTCGTATACTGAGGTACCAGTGTATTATGAAGCTTCTCTGCAGATGGTAGCATGTCATTAATGGTAACATGGTGCATATGTAATTGAGTAAAGATATATTTTTAATTTTAAAACTTTCTTTTATTTTCTAAACATTAGAATTTTTTCAGGAATAAATCCTCTAATATATAGGCTTATATGTTTTGTTGCATNCTGAGCAGCAATACAGCCAGTGTGAACCTTTTCGGGATGTTTCTTTTCAATAAAATCACTCACTTTCTGATAATACCTCAAGATTTCCTTTATCGAGCGAGATCCTTCCACAATGAAGCAAACACACAAACTGAGACTGATGAACTAATGTAACGTCGTATGGTGAGTTTTTGTTCAAACCGTGGAACAAAAATATGTTCGAATTTCATGTCGTATCTTGAAAGTTTCGTATGTTGAAGCGTTCATATCCTGAGGTACTACTGAATTGCATTTTCAGCAGACTATAAACATTTCCATATAAAAGGCATTAACTTTTTTTACATTGCATTGCATTGCAGGAAACAGTGGTGGGATAGCATTCCTGCACCAAGTACAGAGTTAAACATGCCAATAGATCTAAATCTAATAACATTTTTAATAAAATACTTTTAATTTTTCTTGAAAAAAGTAAAAATTATGATTTCTAATTACTTGTTATAGTATTGGTTAAAAAAAAAGCATTGATTGAACAAGGAGCTAAAATATTAATGCAAGAGCTCTACAAAATCAGATGCTGCAGCTTTTATGTTACTAGTATAAGTTTTGTGTGTACACCATCAACTGGGCAATGCGAGTGGTTGAAGAACAACTGGGCTACCGTTAACTGGGAGCTGGACATCTGAGTGACAAAATAAGAGATGAACATAGACAAAATACAAATTTTTTGTTTTCTTTATAAAAAAAATCAGCACTCTTTTCTATTGATCTATTATCCAGTAAATTTTAATAATAATTTTTAAGAGACAAGTTGAATGAGTTAAAAGAACAATTTTATAGCCAAATATCTTACTCAGCTCCNAAAAAAAATTTTTAAATATATAAAAAATATACATTTACTTACTAATTCTTTATGCATTCTTGACAAAGATTCAATTACATCATCTAGAATTCTATCTGTTACATGAGCTGCAACTGATAAATTTACTTCACTACAAAAAAGTCCAAACAAAAAAAAAAATAAAATAAATATTGTGTTAAAAAAAGGAAAATTAAAGATAATAACTTTTCAATGATAAAACGACTGAGGGAACAAAATGCCTGTTAAGAATTTTAAACTATTCTCAAATTCATAATTTTTAACACACAAATGATATTTTATGACTTTTCATAAATTACAGTACAAAACTTAATTGTTCAAAATTTTATTCTCCTTCCACAACAGATTGGATTTCCTCAGATTTTTATTTTCTGTTTTCTTATTTTAAATTTGTTTGCTTTTAGGGAAAGATTTTTGCATGCCTGTTTAATTTACTTGATCAGCTTTGGAATACACTGTTGATCCTTCATCACTGATTGATGCATTTTGAAATGCATCAATTGTAACAATATTCAAAAAGAAATCTGATTCAATACCTTTGACCCAAAGATCTGTGGAAAAGATCAAAAATGTTAGTCCTTCTGTCCATGATTAGTTACTGGAGTTTCATGGTTCTGTAAGGTGTTTTAGTACTGTGTACTTACATTCCAATCATAAGACCTATTGTGAGTAAAACAATCAAGAATATTCCTCTGATTGGCACAATTTACATATTAACACTTAAGGATATGTTTTCTTCAACTGAATTTTTTGAAGTCTTTCATCTACTGAGTGATCATCTTAAGCAATCTCTGTAAATTGAATTTTGATTTTGTATTGGCTTGTAGAGACTAATAAGTTAGATCAACAGTTTCTTAATTTTTGTTTTGTTTTTNATAGAAGAATATGTTTCAGAACATTTTCTTCTATCATTATTTTGCAGAAGGCTAATATTATAAATAAATAGTTTTATGACATAAAAAGTATCCAATGTATCCAATAATACTACTGGAAAAATCTCTTGATCTAATATGAAAATTCAGACTAATTTTGTAACGGAAATAAACAGTAGCAATTTAATATTTATCATTTATACCGGATTTTTACTTTTGTAAATCACAAAAAATAAAACACAATTTTAAAGAAATCAAATATTATCTTAAGAATTGTTTAAATAAAAAATAGTCTTTTAAAAAAAATTGAAGACTAAATACAAATAAATATTTGATGACTTCACTTATCCTTTACAACCACAGGAACACAGTTAACTTGAGCAGAGTTGACCTTTCTTTTGAGGCTCTACTCTGCTTATGAATATGTAAATTGATTAAAAGTCCTGCTAGCATTGTATTCCTGTAAAAATATTTTTTGAAAAACTTTTATTTGCATTTACTCTTCAATTTTTTAAAAATATATTTCATCAAAAATTGAAGAATAAATACAAATAAAAATTCTACATACATCCTTTACAACCACAGGAACAAAATTAACTTGAGCAGAGTTGACCTTTCTTTTGAGGCTCTTCTCTGCTTATGAATATGTAAATTGATTAAAAGTCCCTCTGACACTAGATTCTTGTAAAAATATTTCTTGTTATTTGCTAATGTTAATTGTGTTCCCATGATTGTAAAGGGTGTGTGAAGACATCAAATTTTTATTTGTATTTAGTCTTCAACTTTTTAATAAAAAAAATAATTTAAGAAACAACTTTGTTTGAATTTTGAATAGTCAGAATTTTAATTGTTGAATTTATTGACAGAACAAGATTTGAATCCAAAACTTAATTTCACATAAATATTAGTTTCTTTAATTTCTACACTATTACTAAATAAATTTTGTATTTGTAATAAATCTTACAAAAGTAATTAAATTATTTTAACTTAACAATTATAATTCTTTTTTCTTGAGTTTTGGTTTTGAGTTAAGAATTAAGTGATAGATTTGGATTTTTATCTTGTAAACAAACACTTTAGTGTCCTGGAAATAAGGTCATTTTTCTTTAACCTTTCCCACATTTTTAGTAGTGCTACAAACATGTCATTCTAATTAACTAAATGTATTTTCACATTTGATTATATTTAATTTATTACTATTAACAGTTAACACATTGCACAATATGAAAGTACTAATTTGATTGCTCTTTCTCTTCCTTAATTCATTCTCTTGAAAATTATTACCCAAATGAAAAAATAATCTCTCTTTACTATTACTTTTTTGTAGTTCTTACATTTATGATGATAAATCTCACATTACATTTTACATTTTCTAAAATATTTTTTTATAATAAATTTAATATAATATAATGCCATAATATAGTTTTAAATCAAAATAATTTGAGTTTTGATTAAATATAACACATATAGGTCAAATTTTACCTATGTGCACCATCATGGCCGTGGTCGCAACTGTTTGTGCTCCTGACTGACTCCTCCATGAGAGGAGCCACCAGCAGGCCACCACGTGTATAACATCACTAGTTATTGATTCACGGTAGTTCTTGAACACGTATCAATAACTAGTGACATTATACACTCGGCAGCCTGCTGGCAGTTCCCCTCCAGGAGGAGTCAGTCGAGAGCACGAATAGTTGTGACCACAGCCAGGACGATGCATATAGGTAAAATTTAACCCACATATCTTACCTGACTTTGTTTATGATATCAGTACCAGCCTGCTCTAAAAGTGTTAAAGCTATAAATTCTGATGGAATTGTTCCTCTTTCTTGGCATAATTTTTCAACATCACGTCTTACTTTCTAAGGATGATAATCAAATATTTATGTTAAAAAATTTGCTAACCAACAAACAAAACTTAATTTATTTTTTTGCATTTAAATGTTAAAAAATATTTACTTCAAATTCAATTGAAAGCTTCAAAAAACTATTAAATAGTTAAATAAACATCAAGTTTTATTTTTAGCACAAAACATTTAATAGTTAATTATTTTTTGAATAGAATATAAATTTTTAATTTAAATAGATTTAGTATGCAATAATAATAATGTTATACTTAAATATTGGTTTTAAAATATAAAACAAATTATAAAATCAATAAAAATTTTACTAAAATAGATAGAAATATTAAAATTAAACTGTTCAAGTTTACTTTAAATTATTAGATGGAAAAGTAATAATAATAATGATTATAAATATCTATAGCTTTTAATTCTACAACATTAGCTATCGCAAGTTTATCTTAGCTTTGATCTTTTTATATTTTTAGAGGCTATGCCTCTGTAAAAATGTAAAATGAATAAAAATTGTTGGCCAATTTTAAATATTTACGTTATGGTATCATTAACAAACTACTCTGGATCATCATCCAATGCCCAAGTACTTTTGATTCAGTCAAATTCATCTTCAGGGGCTTCAACCTAACTGCAACTTTTGTTATTAAATAAATGCCTTAGGAATTCAATGTTGTATGCATTTTCAAAATGTTCTATTCTTTGTTTTCTAAAAGCACTTTAAATCTGCTATTCAGGCAAATTCTGTATAGTGTTATCTCTGATTGTTTTCTTTTAATTGAAGTATTTCTTTTGTTTTTTCTCTTTTTCTTCTTCCTTGACTACCCATTTCTAAGCTGTTGGTAATGCATTCCCATCTCTGATGTTAATCACTTCCAAATCCCAATCTTTCTCCCAAATCATCTTTTCTGCTATCCTGAAGTTCTCACTGTCCTTTATATTTCCAATACACTCACATCCCTCAATATAATTTCCTTTCCTTTGTCTAACACTGTCTTTGCTAAGTCTATTGTCATTCTAACTTTCATATGATCATCTGTTTGTTTAGCCTGGTGTTCAGGGTTTTCCTAGTAGCACTAATGTAATATTGCTTTCTTTTGCATTCATTCACAACTTTGTCTTATTTTTCTTTTTCATTCTTAATACAATCAAACAAATGAGATTTAATGGAGAAGTGAGGAGTATATATCAAACTGATAAAAAACCTGTCCTTGTTAGTCAAAAATCTTAACACATTAAGCACTAGAGTAGTGGGCCATGGTCTTTTTTTGAATAAAATAACACAAATATGATGGCTATTTAATATAATTTCATCTATTGTTAAAAAACATTTTTTTCTCAATTTCGAGGCATGTTGTAAAATTGCAATGCAAGCCTAAATAATTTTTTTCCCTGATCATGTTATGCCATTTTGTATGCTTTTAAATTTAACAAAACTTCTTCCACATTCAAGGTTGCATAAATGGACTGATATAAAATCCAAGAGAAATACAATAATCACTGAAATAATACACCTACTGCTGTTTTTTTACTGTTTATGTTCATTGAGAGAAAATGAAGTATGTTTCTTGAGTATTTGTTTTTGTGTTTTATATTTTTATGTTATTGTACTTATTCACATTCATTGTGCAAGAAAATCATTAGAAGAGGAAATTTTGCTTATTTTTCATATTTTATGAGAGAAAAAATTAAATTCTTATTAGTATTCTATCATTAAAAAATTTTACTGGGCCAAAGGCAATTTCTATTCCCTTAGGCCAATGTTTTAACTATTTCCATTATGTTTATAAAACTATCATGTTGCTCTGAAGTAACACTGCTCAGATTTCAATGTATAGTGTGTAGTACATTTCTGCAACACATGGTCTGGGTAAATTGCTGGGTGTGTTGCATATTTGCAACACATGGTGCTTAATGTGTTAATCTCTTTGAATGTGTAAGTTAAAAGTAGCAATAACACATTATAACAAAATTAATGTTTAGGTCTGTGTTGATTATCATTAATTAAAATACTTTATTTTATATTTTAAATACTCTATTAAACTGAAAACATGTAAAACAAAACTTTGTCACATTTTTCTGATTTGTTAAATCAAAATAATTCAATTTGAGTACCATGTAAATCAAGAGTTAGATTTAAATACTAATCAATGTATATTTTACTACTAAATAGCTTTTCTTATTTTATATACATAATTACAAATATTCTTACCTCATCAGAAATAATATTTGGACACTGATCTTCGATACACTTTAACATACATGAAGCTATATTCTATAAAAGAAAGTTTTATTCATTTAGAATACTTAAAATTAGTATAGAAAATCTAACAGTTAAATTCATGTGTATTTCATTCACATGTCATATTTCAATTTTAACTGCTTTACTGGAGTTTATTTTATATTTTGTTACAAAAATAATCTAAACACTAACAGCAATTGCAGAGAAAGAGTTCATGTTAAATGATGTTTAACAGTCAAATGATGTCTAGACATTGGCTGGCTGAACTGCAGTTTAAAATGCTTTGCAAAGATGATAATCATCTATTTCTGAACATTGTCTAAATGAACCTCAACAAAACATTGGCTATTACTTTCTTCACCATTTAGTTGTTGTACCCTCTTTTAGTTGTTGTTCAGCCAATCAGGTTATTCAATTGTGACTTTATAAAAAACTCCAATAAGATCACCAGCTATCTTCTGAAAGCTTCTGGCAGCATAAAATCTTAAAGCCATTGACAACTATTGTTTGAGAGTTAATGACAATCCTTTTCCATTTCAATGTTTAATTTCATTGCCAATACGATTTAAAATATGAACAAATCCATATACAAAATTTATACTGATTTCAGAATTTGTCTTCAGAATAGATTTTTAAGGAATTATTCCGATCTTGTTTACTCTCTCCCTTCAAAATTATTGAGATAACAATAATAACTCTCTCATGGTCACCGCCTGGTTTTGGTGGGAGAGCCCAGTAATTTTACTGATCCATACGGCAATGATGGCTGGAGCACAAGCTCCTAGTGGGGACACCCATGCCAGTAAGGTCTATAAGGAGAAGTAAAGCTAAGAGTGACCACACACCCACATTCTGTGGAGATATTTATCATGGTAGTAACCAGAACTAAGTGTGATATTGGCTTGGATGTCACCTGGATTAACAAGATCTGCGTTCACAGGTTAGGCAGAAGCTCATGTTTGAAAAATAGGCCATAGTCTCCTTTGATTACTGGTGGTGAAAGCAGCACCAGCCCAAGCATGGCTACTGCAATGCCCTCAACAGAAGTGAGGAACCAACCTAGCCCTTGTGTTTCTGTGGCAATGCACCCACAGACCACAAAGGCTGGAAGACCATGCCAATGGATGAAATGGACAATAGAATAACCAAATTTTCTAACCAAATGCTGTAAGATTGTCTAACAAGAAAAATTCTTTGGATTAAAAGGACGTTATACATAGAAATTGAATAAACAGCAAACATACTATATTAAGAAATGAACAAGTTTATCATCCGTATGTATTACACCATCACAAGACTCGAAACAAACATGACAGTGTACAGACAACGACTATACCATAAAAGTAAATACACAACAATATCCTAACCTTACTGTCACCAAACAAAGGGTTGTTGATCAAAAAAGAACAATTATACACAACAACCTTATCCCAAAAACAACACTTGAACTTATCAAATAACAGGTTGCTTATCAAATATATCAACAGACAGAAACATTTAACATTAATGAAGATCATGTAACCTGTCAGGATAATCCAGCAACAAGCACTGATTACAGTGCACACACAACAACTACCATTAATGATACTATAGACACTTCCTCATCCACCACTGATAACATAGACATAGATTTAGTTAATATGCTCTCACTTTTATTTCAGCAAACAGACTAAATATACAGGTACAGATCCCACACAAAGACCACGAATACCAAAAATCAACATGTCTAAGGTAATAGGAAAAACACTAAATTATGTAAACACTCACTTACTACCAAACTACATTCATTCAATTTCTACACTCTCAGACATTCATATGTTAGTTTATGCTGGGGCAGTAACAGTAATAACACACCATGGACTGAAAATACAATCACAGACACACACAAAACACAATTCTTTCACAAGCCTGCCTGGCAGAGAAGAATAGAAACACAAATAAATGACATTAGACAGCAATTAGGCAGGCTGACACAATACACTAAAAACAACATAACACCCAAATTAAAGAAACAACTCAAAAACATTTTCAAGAAAATCAAAACACACACAAAACACGAACATCACAACACACACATTACAGAATACATCGATACACTAAAACAAAAACTCGCAGCCAAAGCACATATACTCAAACGATATAAAACATGTACACTATGAAAACAACAAAATAAATTATTTACAAACAACGAAAAACTCTTTTACAGACAAATTGGTAACAAAACAAACACTGGTACACAGCACAGTGGCACAACAACAGAAGAAGAATTCATAACATATTGATCTTCTCTTTGATCCAGTGCTGTGTCACACAATGCTGATGCAGGCTGGATCGAGGAGGAGAACAGAAACGTGCATAACATACCAACTATGCCCTGTACCGAAGTAAACATACACAATGTCCAATACACTGTTAATAGAACACACAACTGGAAGACACCTGGTGTAGACAACATTCACAATTTCTGGTACAAAAAGTTACATCACTGCACCAGGAACTAGCTAAACACCTAACACACAAGACATGCCAAAATTTCTTACTCAGGGCATCACCTACATGAAACCTAAAAACAACACTACCACAGACCCACACAATACAGACCAATTACATGTCTCCCAACATTAAAAATTATTGACATTCTGTATTGCAAACAAAATATATAAACATGTTGAAGAACACAACATTCTCATGGAACAACAAAAAGGTTGCCATAGAAATCACAGGGGATGCAAAGAACAGTTACTCATAGATTCAGTAATTTTATGGCAAGCATACAAACAACACAAAAACATATATATGGCATATATAGACTACAGAAAAGCATTCAATAGCATTCCACATAGTTGGATACTAGATATTCTACAAATGTACAAAATACATCCAACACTCATTGCATTCTTCCAAAACACTTTGCAACACTGGAGAACAATGCTATATCTCAGGATTCGTAACACTTCCGTACAAACAAACCAAATATTTATTAGGCGAGGAATTTTTCAAGGAGATTCCTTGAGTCCTCTCTAGTCCTGCCTAGCCTTGAACCCATTATCCAACATGTTAAACAACATGCAATATAGCTGTAATATCAGACATGAAAAAACAACACTCACATCTCATGTACATGAATGACATAAAACTTTATACATTCACACAAAAACAACTTCAACAACTCCTACAAATCACACATTCATACACTAAGGACATACAAATGGAGTTTGGCTTAGATAAATGCAAAACACTTCACATAGAAAAAGGAATCCTGAAGAAAGAAGATTTTGCAATTGGAAATGGAGACTTTATTGAATCCATGGAAGAGGGTGAGTTCTACAAGTATTTAGGATTTAAACAGGCCAAACTAACAGAACATACACAAATAAAACAAAGATTAATTAAAGAATACCAAAGTAAGTTAAATGCAAAACACACAGTTAAAGCAATAAACACATATATCATCCCAGTACTCACATATTCTTTTGGAGTTATACATTGAACTCACACACATCTTGAGCAACTTCAAAGGAAAACAAGAACAACACTTACTAAGCATAAACATCATCATCATAAATATGCCATAGAAAGATTAATCCTTCCACGTAAAGATGGCGAACATGGTTAACATAGTTAACCTTCACTACAAACAAACCTTCACTACAGTCACTGTGATAGTTTTTCTACAAGAAACAAGAAACATCACAGTTACATAAAGCAGTAACTCTAGCAGACTCAAATAACATATCATTAAACTTACACTCATATCATACAGACATGACACAACACACAAAAAGCATAGACACCATCAAGCAATCGTGGGCTCGAAAGGCACTCCATGGCAGGCATCCTTATGACCTGGCCCAGGATTTTGTTGACAAAACTGCGTCAAACAGCTGGTTAGATCGGGGATGCCTCTTTGGGGAGATGGAAGGATTCATGATTGCCATACAGGATCAGGTCATAAATACTAAAAACTACAGAAAACACATATCAAAGATACAACACTCACAAATGACACATGCAGAAAATGTCACACCATGCCAGAAACTATACAACAAATCATTTCTGGTTGCAAGCTCTTGGCACAGACAGATTCTTTACATAGACATAATCATATAGCAAATATAATACATCAAGAGCTTGTAAACAAACAAAAATTATTAGACATCCACGAACCATACTACAAGTATATTCCACAGACAGTATTGGAAAATAACATGCACAAAATGTTTTACGACAGAGCCATAATCACAGATAAAACAATTTACCACAACAGACCAGACATCACACTCATTGACAAACACAATAAAATCACATACATTATAGACATAGCCATTCCAAACACTCACAATATACAAACCACATTCACTGAAAAAATTAGCAAGTACACAGAATTCACCCCAGAAATAAGGCATCTGTGGAGGATGGATAGGGTGCTTATTGTACCTGTTGTTCCCTCCTCTACAGGTGTGATATCACACATACTACATAAAAGCCTAGGAACATTACAATTGAATAGAAATACATACATCACACTACAGAAGGCCACTATATTGAATACATGTGATATTGTTAGGAAATTCCTGAATACAGACACTGACACGCTTATTTAATTTTTGTTTTTGGTTGCTATGCCTTGACTCTGTTCCGGCATGGTACACAGCCACCAATGTGAACCGAGTATAACCCACTAAACCCAATATAATAATAATAAAGAATTTTAAATATTTTATTATTTCTTTAGAAAGGTTCTGGTATTTATTAAAATTGTCTTGTTTAACAGAACGTTCTGACCAGGGGATGAACAATAACGAGCCAGAAATGCATTAATGTTTCATAACCGACATATTAATTGAACTGTAAATAAATGCATCTGGTTTAATTGTAGTCTTAAGTCATCTATTTGAATATTGAAATTGGAATATTTAAAACAATTTTAAAGTATTTAATTATATTTTTGTCTGATCCAAGAAATTAATTAATGAATTATTTCGATGATTCATCCCAATTACAACATTTATCAATGGAATGATATCCATTTTTATCTAAACTTTGTGACAAATAAAACAATGTGATGACTTCTGCCAAATTAAAATGCTATCTAAAGCTGCTGTCAAGTGAGTCTAGACAGTAGGTCAAATTACCAGTTTTTAAACACTGTCTAAACTGTGGCAAGCAAGAAATAATGTCCCTGCAATGAAACCTTTCTGAATTGCAGTCTAGATGATCTCTAAATAGTCCTAAGATTAGTATAGATTCCATTTCAATTTTGCTAGTTAAAAATACTAAATAAATTATGAAAAGTTATTTTTTATAACTAAAAGCATCTAGATTTCACATTTGTTAATGAAATGCCTTACAAAACATTTTTTCTTCAAATCACAACAGTAAGATTTTTAATGAACTTTTGATGTAAACATATTTGAACAAACATTTAAATAATTATTTAAGAAAATTTCTAACATTACCTAAAATGCCTAACTTTATATTATAGTTTTAAAAGTATATAATATAAAGTTTATAAAAATTAAAATAAAACTAAATATTTATATAAACAAGAAAATGTGATTCTTAACATGCCTAAATGATTGGATAAAGCTTTATTTTTTAAGTTACAAATTAAAATTTAATTTATACAAATGATATAGATTTATTTTGTTCCTTATGATCTAACACAATACAACATAATTTAGCATTCTTGATAAAAAAAATTCCAATCTGATGTTAAGCTATGCATGTATTTATGTTAATTATGCATATAATTAATGTGCGATTTAGCACATTTCTTAAAACAAAACATATACAAATAATATCCAATATTGTGCATATAATGATAACCAATTATTAAGAAATTATAAAAGTGTCCAAAAATCATTCTTTAATTTACCTCAAAATCACAAACTATTTTATTGCATTGATATTTTTATTAAAATGTAAATTCTAAATACAGTAAGACCCTGCTTAGCACAGGAGATGCATTCCTAGACAACAAAGTGCTAAGCAAAACAGCATTAAATGAGGTCATTTTAACAGAGTAAATTAGGATAGGGGAACACGCAACCAAAAATAAACAAATTTTACTTTAACCTGTCCTACATTGATCCCAAATATTTCCGTGTTTACATCGGAACATTTTTGATACTAGATGTCGCTTCACGTCACAATTTTTATATTAAAACAAACTTTTAAAATAAAATTTTTTTCGTTTTTATATTATTTAATATATATATTTTGTTTGTGAAACATAAAAAAATAATTTTTTATGATACAGTAAACACGATTATTATTTAAAAAAAAAAAAAAATTTAAGCTTAACATCGACGAAAATTCAACATGGCAACAAATAAAAATTTCAACATTGAATAGGTTAATCTTAATTTGTATAATAATATATGTTAAATAACACATAAACACATGCACACAGAAATGTAAAGTTCATTTTTTGTGATGAAGGTCCTGACTTTTCTGAATTTCTTGTTCTTTTGCAATAAATTCGTAAAGTTTCATTTGTTGCTTTTTTCTTTCCTTAAGCAAATGCCGGTAGCAGAAGATCACATCCAAAACACCTCGTTTTGGTTTTGCACTTCTTTCAAAATCTGGATCATTCACTACAATTTGAGCAATGATTTCAGTTATCATTATCCAACTTTTACTAAGGAAATCTGTAAAGAAATTTTTTGGGTTCTTCATTTTCAGAATCTCTATTTTCCAGTTCCACATGAATTCCGTGTTCTTGAAGGTCGTCGTTGGTAAAGCTCTAACCAGAAACCTGCTGTAACTCCTCAATCTCCTGTTCGTTTACATCTCCTAGTCCTGCTGTATTGATTAGGTTGAGTTTGATCAACCTAACGATACAGCGATAGGCTCTTCTCATTGAGAATTCTTAGATACCTTCAGCCATAATTTCTTCCACACTTTGTTCGTGCATTTATCAGTTAATTCTTGCCAAGTGAAGTCAATATTTCCTATTGCATCCATAATGTTATATTTTTTCCAAAATTGCACCAAACAAACATAGATTTAAAGAAAGTACAACTTTTTGCCAACTTTTGCTGATTGGTTTGTGTTCACAAATAATCATATTATCTATGAAGCAATGAAATGCTGCGATAATTTAAATCAGCATAAATTTTGAGCTTTTTTTAGGCTTCGAGCTGATCATGTTATATCGAGTCAGCGTTAAGTGGGGTCTTACTGTATATGTATTTTTAAAAATTATTTTAAGCTATTTGATGTATTAAAAAATGACCATGTTAACAAATATATGTAGTCTTCAACCAATATCCGGCGTGAAAATTCCAAACTAATATTGGCAAACACTTTCAATGCCCCCTCCTGGGTTCTTCTTCAGGCCAAATTCTAGGGTTTTGTCATTGAACTGATATTAGTAATAAGATTATGCAGCGTGTGAAATAGATGGTAGTCAGTTGGTGCCAAGTCAGGGCTATAAGGCAGATGAGGCAGAACCTCCAAGCCCAGCCGACTAGCTTCTCTAAGGTCATCTTTCATTATTTAAAAAGAGCTAGAAAAGGCTATCTAATTCTATAATAAAACATATTACCATAAGAAATCATTATTCATATTTCTGAACAATGTACACAATAAAAAGAATATTCAAATTAAACAAAAATTTTATTTTTGTTAATTTGAATATTCTTTTTATTAACGTAAATTTATTAAATTTATTAAATTAAACAAAAATAAAATTTTTGTTTAATTTTTAACACAGTAACAAAAATAAAATTTTTCTATATTTAATAATCTATTAATATATTAATCAATGTTTTAATTGTTCTACAGCCTATTTTAAAATATATCTGCATTAAACCTTTTTATTTTGAAACTGTATTTTCTAGTTCCCAACAAACACTAAACCTCAAAAAATAAACATGTTAAGATATTCAGATGCATTTCAAATTCATAGTTCATATTCCAATGACCATAGTAAAAGACATATTTGATAAAAAATATTTTGTTCAAATTAATAATTTAATACAACTCTTATAATAATATATCTAGTCTAAGTTATTTATGTTTTATATATTTATAATTAAATATAAAAATTGACAACAAATTTTTGTAATGAAAAATAAATATCATACCATTAAATAAGTATCCAATGTTCGGGTAAGTTCTTGTACAAATTCTTGTAATTTAATTTCAATAGGATTACCAGCTTCTTCTTGTTGTAAAACAACTTCATGAAGACGTGTAAAAAGCTAAACATTTATTTATTTAAATAAATAAATATAATTTTAAAATTATATGTTACAATTTCAATTAATTGTTACTTGTTTAGCATTATTGGCATCATTCAGATAGCCTTCAGCAATAGCAATTCTTTCTTGATACATATTTCCTTCAGCAGCAGATTTTTTAGCATTGTTAATTGTATCTTGTAAATGAACCATTAAACGATCAACCATCTAGGTACAATATAAATTGACAATAGTTTAAAAGTTAGAAATTTATAATTTATTAAATAAACAATTATCAATAACAAATTTAATATATATCTCAGATGAAATAGATGGAAAACTTTGATTAATTTTAAAAAAATTATATATATGTTACTGCGAAAGACCGAAATTAGATAACGTTGACACATACAAAATATGTTGGTGAAAGGTTGAATATTTGGTTATATTATTATACATTCGAACAACCGCCAGTGTATGTCGACAAGCACAGATAAACTTTGGTGGAGGTCAAAATGACACCTGAGAAGCTGATGTCAACAGAGAGGTAACAGTCTGTCACCAAATTCTTCACCATTTCCTTCTGCTCAAATTGGTGATACCATACAAATACAAGTCCCTGATGTCGACCATGGCCCAAAATGTGTTGGAAGTTGTTGTTGGAATAGAAGACTCCGTCTGACTTTTATAAATTAGCAAACAAAAATGGTACCCTCAAGCAGCTTTATACCCATAATCAGTTTGTAATTTGTAAAGAAAAGTTACTTTACATAGATGAGATTTCTTTTCAAAAAATATCACTGAGAAAATCAGCTGCAGCTAATTCGAAAAGTGGAGGGCAAGGCTATACATGCTGTCATTGGAAAAAGAAGTGTTCCACGAATAAATGCAGTTGTAAAAGCAAGGGACTCTTGTGCAATTCAAAGTGCCATAACAGTTTAAGTTGTTCAAAATAAATAAGATTGTATAATGCTAATCACGTAATTTATGTGTAAGTTTATTATTGTATTATTTTCTTTAATGATTTAGAATGTACTATTTGTTTTAGGTTCAACAGTTTATTTATATGTACTGTTACTTAAGCTTTCTCCTATTTTGACATATTAAAAAGTTGCATTTTTGTCTTAATGTAATAAAAATATTTTTATTCAACATTCACCATCACTTCATGCTGAATGTTGACATTTGCTGGTGTAAGTGAAAAATAATGATATTTAGCAAATATTTCATTCATACATGAAATGACTGTGTGAATGCTGACATTTGCCAGATATCGGTCATTCACAGTAACATATATACAGTATAACCTCCAAATAGCAGAAACTGTCAAGACTAAGAAGTTTGTCTGCTTTTTAGTTGTAAATATAATAGATCTTCTATTTGAAGGGTCTGGGGATTGTAAAAATGTCCGTTATGTAAAGGTGTCCACTATTCAGGAGTTAATGAAGGTTTCACTGTATAAGTTTTGCATCTATTTCATCTGAGATTATATAATTATCAATAACAAATTTAACATATATATATGTTATGTTTATACAAAATTTCAAATTATTCTCACTACAGATAAGTTTTATCAATATTGAGATTCATAATTTTTTTTGACAGTATAGAGCAGGGATGGCCAATATGTAGACCGCGGTCAACCAGTCGACTGCAAAGGTTTTGAAAGTAGCCTGCAAAGCTAAAGTTGAACAATTTGCTTTCACTTAAATTAATGTTTAAAAATCTTAATTCGATAATTTATTCTTACAATAATAGACTGTCTGTGCAACATACCCATACTGTTTGTATTTATCCCGATGAACAATGCAAATGAATGTTAACGCATGTGCATATAAATGGCAATTGTATAAAATGGCGCAAAATCATGTGTCAGACATATTACAGTAACGTGACATATTCATAGTCACTTGCAGACTATATTTTACTGAAAAAGTAGCCTCTAAGGGATAAAAGTTTGGCCACACCTGGGGTTGTATTCTGGTCACCATCTCTGGTCTCTCACAAGCCGGTCGCTGATTGGCTAATCCAAATGATTAGCCCAGTGTTTTTCAACCGGGTGCCATGGCACCACGATTGGGGTGTCGCAAAGTTTAGAGTCTTTAGGCATTTTCTTGGAAATTTACTTAAGTGTAGTTCAAGATAACTCATTGTCAGTTCTATTTTGCTATGAGATATCTAGTAAGCAAATAAACTATGACTAATCGCATGTTAATGTAATGTTCTACGCTACGTGTATGCACGACTTATCACAAGGTCGCCCAAACCACATTGCTTGGCCTTCATGTTCCCAGGTCCAGTACCAGGCCAACCACCAAAGAAGAACGACATGGACAATTGTGTCTTGTATATGCTTTAAAAAGCGTTGCATTGTACTTTGAAAAGCGTGTGGTTGCAATAACAAAGTAGGTGCATATTACAGTATTTTCATAGTATTCAAAAGCAATGATGACAAATAAACAATTTTTTATCATTTTTTTAATTTAAATTTTTTAAATTGATATGAAAAAGATAAGAAAAAATTAATGAAATATTTATTTTATATATGCATCTAAATAGTATAAAAAAATGTGACAAAAATAGTTTATCAATAAAATGATAATATAAAATGATGATATATTTGATAATAAAACTATATTTAAAAAACAATAGTGAGACTATTATTTTACATGTAGGTATTTCGACAAAATTCAATGAACTTAAATTTTGATTTTGAACACGTAGAAACACTTTTGCATTGCGCGTAATATTCGTTTTCACAAAAAATTCATCTGGCCCATTAGTCCCCCCCTTATTCAGATTCTAGATCCGCCGCTTGTCAAGGGTGTCACGATTTGTTATTTTTCAATTAAGTGTGCCACTCAATGAAAAAGGTTGAAAAACACTGGATTAGCCAATCAGTGACCAGCTTGTGAGAGACGCGAGATCAGAGACGGTGACCAGAATATGCCCCCTGGTATAGAGGAATATTATATATATTCTAAAAAATCAAATAATTGATAAATATTTTTACTTTTATCACCATATTATAGCATATATAAAAAAGCATATCCTTATAGATGAAGAAAAATTTGCATTATATTCTGCAAATATATGTTACTGCGAAAGACCGAAATTAGATAACGTTGACACATACAAAATATGTTGGTGAAAGGTTGAATATTTGGTTATATTATTATACATTCGAACAACCGCCAGTGTATGTCGACAAGCACAGATAAACTTTGGTGGAGGTCAAAATGACACCTGAGAAGCTGATGTCAACAGAGAGGTAACAGTCTGTCACCAAATTCTTCACCATTTCCTTCTGCTCAAATTGGTGATACCATACAAATACAAGTCCCTGATGTCGACCATGGCCCAAAATGTGTTGGAAGTTGTTGTTGGAATAGAAGACTCCGTCTGACTTTTATAAATTAGCAAACAAAAATGGTACCCTCAAGCAGCTTTATACCCATAATCAGTTTGTAATTTGTAAAGAAAAGTTACTTTACATAGATGAGATTTCTTTTCAAAAAATNGAAATAAGAAAAAAAAAAAAAAAATACTTGGAAAACATTTAAATTTAAAACTACATAAACTTTTTTCTCAAATGTAATCATCATTAACCCAATTGCAGGATTACATCGTGCTATAATAATGCTACTAACTACTAATTAAATGTCAAATAATTTAGCAAGAGTTGGTACCTAACGCATACCTCTAGGCCAAATTAGTTGAAATTTTTACTTTTTTCATTAATATTTAAAAAAATCTCTTTAAACCTTTTATAGTAGATTTACCCATCAAGAAATACTGTGTAATTCCAAATTTCAGACAATTGTAATGGTTATTTATAATATGATTTTCTTAATTTAGTTTAAATTTTATATCAGCGATAAGTAACCTTTTCTGGATGCGAGCTGCAAGTGAATCCTATAGACATTCAGCAGACCACAGGCATTTTTTCTTTTGGAATTGCAGGCTTTTAAGCCAGCTGAATATCAATCATAGTAGGTGGTGTACTGGAGGTAAATAAAATAATATATGCTAACAAGTAATATACAGTTTATTCTAGAATTCTACCAAATGAGTGGAGAGGAACTAAAGCTCAGAATTTTGATAGTTAGCTCAGTTCTCAGCTGGAGTCTACAATCATAGATAGGATAACAACTTAACTCACTTGAGGTGAATTTCTTCACCTTATGCTTATGTGATCTATGGCCTGTGATAATATTTTATTTCAATTACTGCATTTGCTTTTGTTGCTGCTATAATGCAGTATTACTGCAGTTGCAGTATATTTTTACTATAAGATGAAAAAATTTATATTTTTAGCAGAAGATATTTAAAACATGAGCAATCTGTGGGCTGCATGAAGTCCTCAAGGACTTTTCCATACCATTATGTGTCATAATGTTCAGTATGTATATAAGAATAAAAAAAAAAAAAAAAAAAATTTGGTTTCAACCTCAAGCCAATCAGGTAAGAGACTATCTTCCCATCTATAGGTAGCTTTGACAATATTTTATTTATTAAAATACATTTAATTGGATGTAGGGTCTATTTTAATATTCATTAAAATACAGCAAATCCAATTTATTGCAGTTTTTGAATTGACACATCTTGTTTTTTCTTCATATCTCCCAATTTTTTTTTTTTTTTTGGTT